CCGGCTCTCTCCCAAGACAGCACCTCTTGCACCCTCCATCCAGAACTGCAGCCTGCCAGCCAGCCCACCTGTCTGTCGGCTAAGGAAACTCCTGGGCGGCTTCCTCGGGCTCTTGCTCCACTTGGCGGAAAATCTGATGCAGCCCAGCCTCACCCACACTCTGCCTCTAGTGGTCCCCAGGTAAATTGAGTTTAAAACCCCTGATTTAGGAATATACCTTCCTGGTTTTTTATGGGTGTGAGATTGTTTTGGGCTTACAACAAATTGTATTGTTAAAACTAGTTTGTCACGATGGAAGACAAAGTAGATTCCATAGGTGCTGTTATTAAGTTTCTTAATTTCTCACTGGGAGGAGATTTTAAGAAACTAGAATCTTTTGTATTAACTTCATCTGTCCAAATTAGAGTTTCTTGCAAGAATGCTTGATAACAAGAAAAGACAATAGTCATTAACATTCCAGAGCCGACCTCTTGGCTCCTTGTTCAATGTTATCTTGCGTATGTGAGGGGGAGTATATTGGTTGTAAAATACTGCTCAGTTCTCAGACGCTGTAGCCTGCAGCACAAACTCCTCTTCTCTAAGCTTGTTGTCAGCAGAGAAGCTCTCTCATAAGTGGAAAATTTTCAAAGGGTTTACCTTTCGTCACCAGCTATAACTCTAAATTTCTCGGAGTTCCGTCTCAGCACTGCCAAACGCTAACTCCACCCAAACAGAAGCTAACAAATGTTATTCTTCCCATCATGTGTTAACTGTCTCTGGCCAAGAACCCCAAGTGGCTTATCTCTACCTTCACAATTTAAGCTTTCTCCTTGGAGACCTGGAATGTTTCTCCTTTCTCACAAAATTTTCCTAGTGTCCTTCCATAGAGGGTGAATGTTTACATCGGAAAGAACCTCCTTGTGGCCATGACTTTGGAGCAGTAGACTTCTACTGAAGAATCTCTCAGTCACATTATCAATGCAACGGGTGGGAGACAAGAAAAATGATCAGATCTGGGAAAAGGAATGTTCATTTACACTTTGGGAACTTGTCAAGATGTTAAATTTAAGACTTTATAGGAACAAAGATGCATTCAAATATTGAATTACATATTAAAGAGGTTCTTTAATTCTTCCTCATTTTATGCCATCAGAGTGTTATCTGCATATCAGAGGTTGTTGATATTTCTTCCGGCAATCTTAATTCCGGCTTGGGATTCCTCCAGTCCAGCCTTTCGCATGATGTATTCTGCATATAAGTTAAATAAGCAGGGGGACAATATACACCCTTGTCGTACTCCTTTCCCAATTTTGAACCAGTCAGTTGTTCCATAGCCAGTTCTAACTGTTGCTTCCTGTCCCACATATAGGTTTCTCAGGATACAGATAAGGTGGTCAGGCACTCCCATTTCTTTAAGAACTTGCCATAGTTTGCTGTAGTCCACACAGTCAAAGGCTTTTGCATAGTCAATGAAGCAGAAGTAGATATTTTTCTGGAACTCTCTGGCTTTTTCCATAATCCAGCGCAAGTTAGCAATTTGGTCTCTAGTTCCTCTGCTTCTTCGGAATCCAGCTTGTACTTCTAGGAGTTCTCGGTCCACATACTGCTGAAGCCTACCTTGCAGGATTTTGAGCATAACCTTGCTAGCGTGTGAAATGAGTGCAATTGTACGGTAGTTGGAGCACTCTTTGGCACTGCCCTTCTTTGGGATTGGGATTTAGACTGATCTTTTCCAATCCTCTGGCCACTGTTGAGTTTTCCAAACTTGCTGGCATATCGAATGTTGCACCTTAAACAGCGTCATCTTTTAAGATTTTAATTAGTTCAACTGGAATGCCATCACCTCCACTGGCCTTGTTGTTAGCCGTGCTTTCTAAGGCCCACTTGACTTCACTCTCCAGGATGTCTGGCTCAAGGTCAGCAACCGCAATATCTGGGTTGTCCGTGATATCCAAATCTTTCTGGTAGAATTCCTCTGTGTATTCTTGCTACCTCTTCTTGATGTCTTCTGCTTCTGTGAGGTCCCTTGCATTTTTTGTCCTTTATCTTGCCCATCTTTGCACAAAATGTTCCTCTAATATCTCCAATTTTCTTGAACAGATCTCTGGTTTTCCCCTTTCTATTGCTTTCCTCTATATCTTTACACTGTTCGTTTAAGAAGGCCCTCTTTCCTCTCCTTGCTATTCTTTGGAAGTCTGCATTCAATTTTCTTTAACTTTCCCTATCTCCCTTCCATTTCGTTTCCCTTCTCTTCTCTACTATTTGTAAGGCCTCGTTGGACAGCCACTTTGCTTTCTTACATTTCCTTTTCTTCAGGATGGTTTTTTTGCAATGTTACGAGCCTCTATCCAAAGTTCTTCAGGCACTCTGTCCACCAAGTCAAGTTCCTTAAATCTGTTCTTCCACTGTGTATTCATAAAGGATTTGGTTTAAATTATACCTGAGTAGCCCAGTGGTTTTTCCTACTCTCCAGATTAAGCTTGAATTTCGCTATAAAATGCTGATGATCAGAATCACGATCAGCTTCAGTTCTTGTTTACAGAGATTCTCCATCTTTGGCTGCAGAGAATATAATAAATCTGATTTCGGTATTGCCCATGTGGTGATATCCATGTCTAGAGTCGCCTCTTGTGTTGTTGGAAAAGAGTGTTTGTGATGACCAGCTTGTTCTCTTGACAAATCTCTAATAGCCTTTGCCCTGCTTTGCTTTGAACTCCAAGGCCAAACTTCCCTGTTGTTCCTTTTATCTCTTGGCTCCCTACTTTAGCATTCCAGTCTCCTAGTATGAGAAGAATATCTTTCTTTGGTGTCAATTCTAGAAGGTGTTGTAAGTCTTCATAGAATTGGTCAATTTCAGCATCTTCACCGTTGTTGGTTGGTGCATAACCTTGGATTACTGTGATGTTGAAAGGTCTGCCTTGGATTCGTATTGAAATCATTCTATCATTTTTGAGATTATATCCCATTACAGCTTTTCCCACTCTTTTGTTGACTATGAGGGCTACTCCATTTCTTCTACGGGATTCTTGCCTACAATAGTAGACGTGGTAATCGTCTGAATTGAATCCACCCATTCCAGTCCATTTTAATTCACTGATGCCCAGGACGTCAATCTTTATTCTTCCCATCTCCTGTTTGACCGCATCGATTTTACCAAGTTTCATAGATCTTACATTCCAGGTTCCCTTGCAGTATTTTTCTTTGCAGCATCGGACTTTCCTTTCACTTCCAGACATGTCCGCAGCTGAGCGTCCTTTTGGCTTTGGCCCAACCACTTCATTAGCTTTGGAGCTTCTTCTCCTCCACTCTTCCTCAGTAGCATGTTGGATGCCTTCCAACCTGAGGGGTTCAACTTCTAGCGACATATTTGTTAGCCTGTTGTTTCTGTCCATGGAGTTTTCTTGGCAAAGATACTGGAGTGACTTGCTAGTTCCTGCTCCAGGTGGATCGCGTTTAGTCAAAACTCTCCATTATGACCTGTCCGTCTTGGGTGTCCCTGCACGGCATAGCCCATAGCTTATCTGAATTACTCAAGCCCCTTCACCAGGACAAGGTAGCAATCCAGTGAAGGGATTAGCCTGCACCAATGGGAGCTGTTGGGAAGGGGAGCCAGAGAAACTAGAAAGGAGGGCTGAATCAGAGGAGAGTTTGGTCCTTTTGAGAGAGTTTTGTCTGTGAGAGTCAGAGATGAGAGACTGAAGTATAAGTGAGCCTGTGGTAGTTAGATAGCCTGGCAGAGTTAGGAGTTAAAGCAGGCAGTTAAAAGTGTGGAACTGAGAGAACTAAGAGAGTTAAGAGTGGAACAAGTAACTACTAATCTAATGAATAAATTAAAGTCTGTGAATAACCCGTTTAACCTATAATCAATAAATCTGTCTTGTTCAAGTTGATCTTCAGCTCCGATCTCAATCTTTGAAATCGAAGGGTGTCGACAGAGGGTCTCAACTGGTGGCAGCGTAAAGGGAGGGAAGGTGCTGTGGGGCCTCGTGAAAGCACCCGAGGGCCCGTGAGGGGCGCGTCAAAATAGGTGTCAGCTCGTGGGATACGTAGCGTCAGCCCTTGGTTTGGTGGAACAAGCAGGGGTGACATGGGTAGACATCAAGAGTCAAAAGCTTCCACGCTGCAGGGGTGACTTGCCGTTGCCTCGGCTTCCATTTTAACTCTGATGGACGTTTGCATCCCTTGCTGTTCCTTTCCTCCCTCCCTCTCTCCGCTCCCCCTTCAGGCTTCATCTCTCCCGGGCGTTTTTGGGCTCCCCTTCCCAGCAGGGCTCGGCCATTTCTGCACCACCAGAGAATCTCAGCCAAACCCCGAAAGGGAGGCGGGAAAAGGACTGTGTGGGACCTCCTCCCTTCCTGGCGCTGTTTTCCTTTGGGACTCCCTGCATCAGGCCTCTGGGGTCATGGCGCGGGAGGGGGGGGACTGACGGTGATCATCCTTTCTGCCTGACTGGCTGCAATCTGTATCTCCCCTGTATTGCCTGCACCCCAGAAGTCAGAAGGTAGTTAGGTGTGTGTGTTTGTGGGGGGAGGAGGAAGAACCCTCCTGGAGAAGAGGGGAAGATGGGGGGGGAGAGAGAGAAACAGAGGAAGAAGAAGCCAAGGAGGGGGGCTCCCAAGAGAGAAAGGGGGGGTTGTCTCCCGAGTTCAGGGAAAGCAACCAAGCCTTGGGGGGAGGAAACGTGAGAAAAGGCACCCGCGCCCCCCCCCTCAGGAAAGCACAAGGTCACACTCTGTGTTTGTCTATGTGTGCATGAGGGTCTGTGTGCAACGTTGAATTCATTCCATTTTCTCTTTTGTGCCCCTCCCTCCTCCACGATATCCCCGGAACTTTGAACTCCCCCCAATTTGGGTTGGGAAGCCTCGGGGAGCTTTCCTCGGAGGACCGGAGGGGAACAGAGAGGGAGGCAAGGGGTAGTAGAGCGTCTCCTCGCCGGAAGAGGAAGCAGGGGGAGATAGACTCCGCCCCCTCGTGTTGTTTCCCCCCCCCCCCGCGCACGCGCGCTCC